ATAATCAAAATGAAACATAAATTACAGTTTTCGCACATACTGTTGATTTTGTCTGCCTAGTTCTTCTGTATTATCTATGATGTAGTTTTTAATGTTCAAGTATTTTTAATCATAAGCTTCATAATGTGTACGTTGATGCTCAATGACAAAGGTAGACGCTGTAAGGGCRATTTTGTTATAAGCAGAGTTTATTTATATAGCACCTTTCATAGATATAAAATCACGAAGTGTTTCACGATAAAAGYAAGATCAAATTTTAAAAGCATCACATTCATTCAATAGTACAAGTAAAAACAGGGTAGAGTACAAAAAATATAAATAAAAACTTCTGACAGCTAGCTAAAAGCTTGTTTGTAACAGAAAGTCTTAAGATTTTTTAAAGCATCATTAGAATCAAAGCTGTATGGATTGAGGTGATGCATTCCAGTCGGGGTGCAGCTGCTTGGAAAGACCGATCCCCACCAGATTTAAAATGTGTGCAGAGTACCACCAACAACCTCTGACCCGATGACCTCAAGCTGTCAGATGGTGACTGAAGCTGGATCAAATCTGAGATATAAGAGGGAGCTTCTTCATGKAAGCTCTAAAAGTTAAAAACAAAATTTTAAAATGAACTGGGAGCCAGTGAAGAGAAGCTAAAACAGCTGTGATGTGAGCTCGTTTGTTAGTTAGCAATCTTACATTATTGTGTTGTTAAATTCAAAAGTGTAATATTTACATACAGATAATCCTTTTCTCAGCACAAAATAACTTAAAACAGTGGTTTTTTAATGTACTTGATTAATAGAAATCTGCCTTTAATATTGTTTCTGTTAATATGTTGGTATTCTCAGTGTATATGCAGACAGAAGCTGTAAGGTGTGTCTGGAGGCGAGGGTAAAATATAAGATCAGCCTCAGGATTTTTTCCACTATCAGCCTTGTAAAGAGCACTCAGATTAAAAAACTCATTTAGATTTCTTGTTAAAAGGCAAAAATTTAGTGAGCTATCCTTTTTCCTTTAATGAAGTCAGAGAGCCTCGCTGCTGCTCAGAGTGGGTTTGCTCCTTTTTGTAATACCTGCATGTGAGCTGTAGAGATCACCTGATGGATCAGTGATGTTCTCTGGCACAGAGCGGGAGAAAACAGCATAGTTTGTCATTTTAATGACTGCTGCCTCAAAAACACTGGATAATAAACCTGGTTGAAACAAGGACCAAATTTTTAAGTAGTTTCCTGTGAGATCTGCAAGCAGCTGTTTGTGAAGGGACAGTCTGAACTTTCAAGCCATGATGCTAAAGTAGAATGAGGAAATCTTAAATTTAAGCTAGCTTAAAACTTTACAGGTAAACTGCAAACTGAATATTTGAAGGAAGTATGGAGCTAGGGTTTTGTTATCTACTGCATTTTAAAATGGGCAAAAACAAAACATTTTTATTGAAAACATTTGTAAGGTTGGTTAGCTAATGGTTTATGCTAAAGGTCACTGTGGCTTGCCAGTATTCCACAATCTGTGCTGTGCCTCTGATGTGTTTAAGGCTTTTTCTGCCAGTATGTTGATTTCATATTAATACTATAACTTGCAGAATTTTATTCAGTTGCAGAGTATTTTAGCTTGTTGATAGGTACTCTTCAGGCAGGGAATGCTGTGTGTCATGGTTGTAAAACTCAATGGAGTAAGACTAAGTGATGAAGACTGCGCTGAAATTTGGTGCTGGAAAAGTTTGAAAATTTACCTTGAAAATCATTGAAAAGTGCTTGAATTTTACTGTGGGGAAAGTGTACGAACCCTGAACACAGACAGAGCCATTTTATTTACACACAAAGCATTCTGGGTAAATGATGACGTGAATAGGTCCTCAGTGCGAGGCTGCTAGCGAGCTATATCCACCCCGAAGGTTAATCTTGGACAATATCTGATGATCGACTCTTTTAAATGAAACAAGAGAGCGTTGACAGAGAGGAGAAGGTAGAAATGACTCAGTCTGTAACTAAAAATATGGATGGAGGACAACAGAGCTGCTTTATGGAAGAAGAACCTCAGCTTAGTTAGCGTTGGCGCCAACGCTATGTTGCCTTATATGTATTAGCTTGGCACTATAGCTTGACAAACTAACAAGCTAAACTGAGGTTCTTCTTCCATGAAGCAGCTCTGTTGTCCTCCATCCATATTTTCAGTTACAGGCTGAGTCATTTCTACCTTCTCCTCTCTGTCAACRCTCTCTGGTTTCATTTAAAAGAGTCGATCATCAGATATTGTCCAAGATTAACCTTGAGGGTGGACATAGCTCGCTAGCAGCCTCACACCGAGGACCTATCCACGTCATCATTTACCCAGAATGCTTTGCGTGTAAATAAAATGGCTCCGTCTTTGTTAAAATAGATTTTTAAATTTTTAGTTTAAAAATTATAAAAACTAAACATCCTACAGTATTTTTACAGTCTTTATTTTACAGTTAAAATATGTTTTTATCAAATAAAGTCAAATGTTGCAACTAATCGTCCCTTTAAATTACTACATGAAATCCTGTAAGCATAATCTCTTTGAAATCAGTAATTTTAAAGTAGACGTCTGTCAGTCTTTCAAATAAAAATTGCAATTTTAAAATATTTTGTGCTGTGCAAAGGACTGACTGTGCTATAATCTTTCAAATATGAAATTAGAGCATACACAACAATTTACGTTTTCATGTGTTTGCTCCGAAAAGTTATGGAGATGGTTAAATATTTGTATTAATAATAATAATACATTTTATTTGAAGGGAACTTTCAGGTCACTCAAGAACAAAATACAATTAAAATACAGTATATATTGCAGTAAAACCCAAAAAGGAATAAAACAACAAATAAAAAAACAATAGAAAATTCATACATAGCATAATGTTAAATAGAGGTGATGAGAGATGGAACTTTCACTGAATATGCCTGTTTGAAAAGAAGAGTTTTAATCTGTGATTTAAAAATGGAGCTGATGGGAGAGTTTTGGATGTTTTGATGTACGTTTCATCAGACCCAAATGTCGTGGCTCCTGTGGATCTCAATGCTGCAGATTAAAGTCTGCTTACAGTTTGGCTGCTTCATTATGCACCTCTTTACATGATCCCAGTGTGCAGGAATAAGGCTCTCAGATGTGTGGTTGTGTGTTAGCATGCAGGGGTGAGTGCCTATGTAAACATAGGGTGCAGAAATAAAATCAGTCAAAACATTGTTTTTTTATCTCTATGAAATAAACTGGATGCTAATTATGCAAAAATAGATGAAAGTTAAAGGCCTGGAATTTCTTCAAGTAATGCATATTTTTACACTCATGCCACATGCACACTCAGTAAAACCCTAAAGACCCTGCAGAGACCCTGCAATAACCACTCAGACATGTTCCTTTACCACATCATCCTGTATAAACTGTCATTTACCATCAAGGTTGTGTCTGATCTGCTGCACTGGTCCAGGAGCACAGAACACGGCTGTAGAACCACTAGAGAAACTGATGGGGAGGAGGAGAAATGACCAAAATCGTCTTCTGAAAGAGGATGATCGGTGAAACCACCTGTTTGAGGAATTTAAATGTGAAACAGAGTCTGTATCAGCTGCCGGCTCATCATTGTTTTACCTTAAATGACAAAAAGATTGTGAGCTGCAGAGTTGCACGTGAGATCAGAGTGGATCATCTGTCAGAGCTGATGTAGAAAGGAATGAAGTCTTGCACTGAGACCGAAGTTCAACATCAGAAACGTCAAACAGTAATGGAATGACAACACCTGTTTTTTTTTCTAACCATCACCCTACTGTGAACCATCAGGCTGCTTTCTGCTGGGCCTCTGTTGTCTTTAAAAGGAGTACTACTCTACTCAATTTATCAAATCAGTCAAGCTGCCCACATGTTGTAGTGTCTTTGAGCAAGACACCCATACCCTCTGCTGCCTTCATAGCTGCGTCCTGCTCCACCTGGGTGTATCTCATATGTGATGGGTCCAATCCAGATAATATATTTAGTTGTACAAAAACACACATGATGACTTTCACCAGCCTCAGCACCATCTGCACACACCTGATCTATGCTCCGCACACACACATGTGTGCAGGAGCACGGACATTGTTCTGTGGAGAAAACAACAACAAACTAAATAAACAATGTCACAGCAGAGTGGTTTATTATCAGCCATGGTTTCATTCATGTTTCATTGGTTTTGAGAAAGAGTAGTTTTCTAAGCCTGATAATAAAAACAGGTCCTTGTGTGGCTAGCATTACCCTAGCTGGGATGAAGGTTTCTGTCTCTTTCAGCGTGCTTTGTGTTTGATATAATAGCTGATATTGCTAACTGCAGGGTAGAACTTGTTTAAGTTTTGTTCTACGTTAATTGAACATCTAACGCACCTGTCTTCTGTTTTCCAGCTGATCACAGTTTACACCGTGCTGGGGATGGACTCTGACTGGCTGATTGGAGAGAGAGGAAACCAGAAAGGAAAAGTTCCTGTGACATACCTCGAGCTGCTCAGTTAGAAAACATGCATGTGTGATTGATTCCAACTGAAGCCACAAGGATTTTTCTTTTCTTTCACTGGATTGCTCACGGTTACACTAATATGACCACAATAAGCACTAACAGCAGCTGAATGCACACATTTATCCACCGTCAGAACACAGCAGTGGTCCCAGAGACATTGTTCAGTGAGTGCAGGAGAATCCCCGGCAGAGACGTGTGATGCTTTTGGTGAAGTTATTTTCATTTTGCTGTCATGTTTTTATTGATTATAGTGTAACTCAAAGATTCCAGCTGACCAGTTCTATCCACATTATGCTACCTTATTATTCTTAGTGATTTCATATTTTGTTTCTGTTTAAAGTCTTACCTGAGCTCTGATGAAGAGTTGTAAAAAAAGTATATTTATGTATTTCTATATTTATTTGTGCATCGAGAATGGAGACGTGAGCCTCTGTGTGTACCCGAAGGAAAGTTGGAGCAGCAGGACAGATTAAATAATCTGAGCTCATGTTGTCAGTTCTTTGAGGACAATGGGTGAAAGAAGAAGTGAGTCGTTGTGTGGTCACATCACACCACTCTGACGTAATCAGTTCCAGTTCCTCCAGGCGTGGAGAGTATGAAAAATATTTGTTTTGATACAGTGCCATCGCTGAATGAAAGCCAACCTGCTGAAATTCCAGGCTTTTAGGTATCTGACATGATAAAATGTTCTGATGTCCAGATTTTAAAATATTTAGTGTGCAAAAACACACAACAGTTTCCACCATGTTGTGTTTTTACGAACAACAGGAAGTGTGTGAAGGTGCTCCCCATTCATTGTCCTATCATGACCTTTAACATTTAAGCTGATAATAATGCCTGTAGAGTCCGGGCAGGAGCTCCTTGTAGTCTGGGTTTTTTGTAACTTCCCTGGCACTGCACAGTCTGACCTTAGGGTGAACTCCTGACACATCCACTCCTGGTATAACTGTCAGCTGACCTAAATGGTTTAACTTGTGAAAAATCTTTCTCTATAAAACTCCTGCTTTTGAAGATCTGCTCACATGGAGGAGGGTCACTTAATCAATACATTGGACACATTTCCCATTGTTTCTTTCTTCTTTAATGAATATTGGAGTCTGTTGTGTGTTTTTGTACAGCTGATATTAGATTTGAATACTTTTGAAACGTGGAAAACACCCAGTCAAATTATTACGTCTAAATGAAAGAGGCTGGACTTTCTGTAGATGATAAATATCAGTCTTTCCCTTTTCCCAAATTTCTATGACATGAACAAATTTGCCATCTTTTTTATTTTCCTGAAAAGCTTGAGATAATTCAGACTTCTGCTGACTCTGTGGTGTTACTGCACAGTTTAAAACCATCCAGATGGACAACATCTCATAGGAGGTAGATTTGCTTTAATTGCTAATGAAATGATCACTATTAGAAATGACTCTGGTTGCTTTAGGTTGTTGGGTTCGTTTGGTTTTTTTTTTTGTTTGTTTGTTTGTTTTTTGTTATTTTTTGTTTATTTTGATATCTTCACCCAGCGCTGCAAGTTCCCCTTTGAACACAGTAAACACCTGTTGATCAAATAAACTTAATCGCTTCGTCCTGACTGCCTTAAGATGAAGGGAGGGCCAGGCCGCCTGGTGGTGGTGGTGGTGATGATGATGATGATTATATCATCTTCACTCATCAGCCAGCATGCAGGACTGTAACCTGCTCTGATTACAGCTGTGTCTGTGCACTTTGTGTCCTTTAGTGTCTGTTTCTTCATGTTAAAGTGTTCTCAGGCTTAATGCTGCATGACTGTCCTGCTGCAAGTTTGTGTCTCTGTTTTTGTGGGTGTGCGTGTGTGGACATGTTTTTTGCTACATCGTGGGAACCATTTTCCCAAAAAAGCAACCACGTGGGGGCCAATGCCTGGACCCTGTGGGTACAAATGCTAATTACGGGTGGTGGGTTAGGTTTAGGACCAAGGTGTGAATTGAGTTTAGGTTAGTTTTAGGGTCAGGTAGGTGTACCTGTGAGGTTAATTTTAGGGTAAATGTTCAGGGTTAGGATATAAAATTTCCAAAAATTGAATGGAAGTCAATCCACAGTCCCCACGGGTATATAAAAACCAGACTCTGTGTGTGCGTGTGTGTGCTCTCACTTCCAGGTTGTGTAAATAAATGCATGAACATGTTTTGAAGATGTTTGACTTCAGGACTTCTGTCAGACAGAAAACACTTGAATAATATTTGTTGTCAGAAGAATGTAATCCAGTGTGTTCTGCTAACATCCCTTGTGCTGGTCTGACTTTTTTTAAACAAACGTTGTAATGCTGATGTACTCTCTGTTGTATTAAGTTTCTGTTTTTTTGCCTGAACTTACAAAACAAACTATGATTTAATAAAATATGTAATTTATTTGACTTTGTCTATTCATAGTGATCACTTGGATTAATCCAGAGGGTTTTTTTTTGTTTGTTTATTCATCTTTAATAGAGGAGAATAAAAACAATCCCAGGTTTCTGTTTAGTACTCTAGCCAGACTAACAAAAAGTCCTATCTCTGTTGAGCCTGTATCCCTATAACTCTAAGTAGTGATGACTTCATGCGATTCTTTATAGATAAAATAATTTTAATTAGAGATAAAATTCACAACAAACCGCTTGCTACTGTCTCTGATTCTCTGTCAGATGAGGCAACTTTAGTGCCACTAGAACCTGATTTATGTCTGGACAGTTTTTGTCCTGTTGAGCTGTCTGAATTATCTAAAATAATAGCTTCATCCAAACCATCAACATGTCTGCTAGAACCCAACCAGAGCAGGGTCCACTCAGAACAGACGTTGCATTGGTCATCCAAAGAAGCTGAGTACATGTGSTCAGCGTCACATCCAAATGCTGTCTTTGAAAGATAGGCGCAGGCAGGAGAGCTGTCAGCATTGCTGCAGAGACTGAAGAGGTGGGGGGGATCAGCCTGTCAGTGCTCAGACCATACACAGCATGCTACATCAAATTGATCTGCATGGCTTTCTCCCCAGAAAGAAGCCTCTTCTGAAGTCTGTACACAAGAAAACCTGCAATCAGTTTGCTGAAGACCTATGTCAACAAATGACATGGATTACTGGGACCATGTCCTATGGTCTGATGAGACTGAGATTAATTTGTTTGGTTCAGATAATCTCAAACATGTGTGGCAGCAATGAGGGGAGGAGTACAAAGATAAGTGTGTGATACCTACAGTCAAGCATGGAGGTGGGAATGCCATGGTCCAGGGCTGCATGAGTGCAGCAGGTGTTGGGAAGTTACATTTCATTGAGGGACACATGAACTCCAATATATACTGTGAATTACTGAAGAAGAACATGATCTCCTCCCTCCGGAAACTGGGTCTCAGAGTAGTGTTCTAGCATGATAATGACCCCCAAACACCTCTAAAACGACCACTGCTTTACTGAAGAGGATGAGGGTAAAGGTGATGGACTGGCAAAGCATGTCTCCAGACCTAAACCCAATAGAACATGTTCGGGGCATCCTCAAACAGAAGGTAGAGGAGCGCAAAGTCTCGAATATCCGCCAGTTCCATAATGTCGTCATGGAACAGTGGAAAATCATTCCAGTGACAACCTGTGAAGCTCTGGTGAACTCCATGCCCAGGAGAGTTAAGGCAGTTCTGGTAAATAATGGTGGCCACACAAAGTATTGACACTTCAGGAACTTTCACTAAGTCCAAGAGATAGACCATCTGCATAAAAAGTACCAGCAATTTTATTGGTACCCCATTAAAGCACATCCCTTCCAGATATAAAAAAAACCATTTATTACAAAATTTCTCCAGGACACGGAGTCAGAATTCAAGATCAATGCTAATATCTGACCATAATTGCCAGATCTTTTGCTTCAGATCTGTTTTTTGGTACCAAAATGTTAAAAACTGATTGCTTACTTAAATCCAGGTAACAAACTTATAAAGCCATCCACAAAAAGTGCCATAAAAGTGTCAAAGTTTGAGCTTTTTTTGAAAATCTGTTCATGCACTTTCCCCAACTGTTCTGTCAGTATTTCCTAAACTGGCATCAAAGTGCACCAAAAATATCTTCAGACACTACTAATTAAAAAACATAAGATGTACAATGTCATCTTTTTTAATTCTAGAAGCAAAATGATGCCAACCCTCTAAACTATTGATATATGCCAAATTTCAAATATTGTACATATTATTGCCTTACTTCATATTTAAATCATACTTTAGTGTTAAAAAGTATATTTGAAACTACTGGGTTGTTAATGTTAATTGAACCTCATCCATCCATCCATTGTTTAAAGGAGTGATGTTCTCTTTCTTACAGATAGTATAGGAAACTCAGCGTGGAGGAGATGGTTCCAGGTCAACAGGTGAGTATTTAAAGGTGAGTTTATCCACAGGTGAGTAGTTCTCAGGTGAATATTTGGTTCTTGGTTCAGTGGAGGCAGCGCATGTGAAGGATCAGGTGATAGGCTCTTCAGGTTTTCAGGCAGGCTTGGAAAACAGGTGGATCAGAGGGCGCTCAGGAATTCTGGAGACAGGTAAGTACAAGAAACTCGATTTAGACAGACTCTGGTAAAATAGTGTAAGCAAATGGCTGAGATCTTTACCCAAGAGTAGGATGCTTCAGCAAAGATCTTCTTCTTCTTTTTGTTTTAATGGCGGTTGGCAATCAACTTAATGGTGTGCATTACCGCCACCTACTGGTTTGGAGTGGGGATCAGGACGCAACTTATATAATCAACAGGCGCTTTCATGTCCGCAGCTGACACCCCCCCCCCCCCCCGTGGGTGCGAGTTGTAAGGATTTTTTTTTTTTTTGCGAAATTTATGGATTTTTAGGCCTCTTTATACAGGTAAACATCCAAAGAGGTTGAACTGTATGCGAACCGGACCGAACCTCAGTCAAACAAGACACAACACTTTTATTCCTGATTTAAACCAGCGATCATGTGATCAGCTGTATGCTTTTATTTGTTTATGTCAGGCTGTCGGAGCACTCCTCCTCCTCTGTCTGAGACTGGTGTGAGGTGAAAATCCTCCACCTCAGACGTTCAGAGATGTAACTATCTGTGATACTGTGGTCACTCTCCATGTAGCATCAATTATGCTAATGCTAGCTGCCTGTCACGTTCTCTCGTCCTGGCCACACCTCCGCTCTCTAACCTCCCCCCTCCCCTACCCACTTTGATGCATTTTTCAAATTTTGCCTTGGGGCGGAGTTACCTTTTCACAGGGAGGGTAAGATACACTTTAAAGTCTTTTTCCTCTTTTCCCAACTAGGTTTTAAAATTTCTTGACCAGGATGGTTTTCATAATGACCCATTAAAAAACTCCAGTAAGATAATCTTAACTGTAATCTTCTAAGGTAAAGTGGTATTTCCCCGATTTCAACTAACAAAGCTGAAATTGGAGTTGTTCTGATAGCTCCTGTACACAACCTCAAGGCTTGATATTGAATAATATCTAATTTTTAAAGAAGTGTTTCTACAAGTAAAAAGTTGATTGGAGTCCCTGCAATGTCCCCCCGCAGAGATATAAGCGAAAAACCTCCAAAATTACACACCGCCGGACTTCCACCGGGGGAGGTTTTAGCCCCCCTCCCCGGGCTAGGAGCATAGGATCCCGGAGTGGCTCATCGGGTTTTAAAGCTCTGTTTCTATCCTACAAGCTGATACTTGTATGGAGTCTCTATGACGTTCCCCCGCGGAGCTATAAGCAAATTACGTACGATTAAGTGCATTTTTCGGGTGGAAATTTCAACCTTCCTTTGCTTCCCCTGTGGAGCTAGAAGAAAAAACCGCCAAATCCCTCACCACTTAGTGCATTTTTTTTGCTCAATTTCAGTAGCAAATCAACCTTCGTTTGCTTCTCCTGCGGGCACTGAGCATCAGATCCGGAAAGTGTGATGACTTTGGAAAGCTACGGTCCTCCTCTACAAACCGGAGGTGGTTGCAAGTTCCTGGGATGTTCCCCCGCGGAGCTATTAACCAACGACCAGCCGCAAAAGGTGGTTTGGTGAGCGATATAGTACTCAGTTTACTCCGGAGCCTCTAGCGCCGGCTCTGAGCGTCGGATCCGGGCGCGAAGGAAGATGAAGAGAGGAGGGAAGAGATCCAGTGAGGTGGAACCGCGGTCATGCGTGCAGCACCCACTCTCCCACCTGGATTTAGCCAGAAACCTCTGGCAGGCGATATTTCTGCAAAAATGAATAAAATTCAGAAACCCACCTGATGGATCTGTTCCAGGCAATAAAAGGAACAGATCTCATCAGATGAAACCAGTCCTGGAAGCTCAGCAATAGGTTTTATAACAGCCTGCCCCCCGAACCACTGGCGGGCGATATTTCTGCAATAATGCATAAAATTCAGAAACCCACCTGATGGATCTGTTCCAGGCAATAAAAGGAACAGATCTGATCAGGTGAAACCGGTCCTGGAAGCTCAGCACCGGGTTTTATTGCCACCTGCAAGAGAGTTTTATATTGTGTGCTTTGACTTTGAAAAAAAAGGGCGGTACTCTTGTGGTAGCCATGTTGACCCTGATAGTTTTTTTTGTATTGTTTTCCCTCCCCTGAATGGAGAGAAGAGAGGAGAGTTCTTTGAATAAATGGAGACGAGTTCCCCTGGTCCAGAGTTATTTGACTCTGTGGTTCTCTCACTGGGAAGGGTTTCCAGCCCTCATAGGTCACACGTTACAGTGAGTACTAATTGAAGGAGATTTWAAAAAAATGGTACTTTTTGTTCAAGCATCACTTTTCTGTTTCTCTGTCAGGAGTTAAGTAAGGATTTTATCTTTTCTTTTTTTTTTTTGTAGGTAAATATATGATCAAGTAGATAGTTTTGTTTGACAATACTTTAAATTAAATAAAACTAGCAACACATTACGTTCTGTTTTATTTACTTTAAAGAAGTGATCTCGGCAAACTGCTGACTTCAAGAGTAGCTCTTGGTTCAAAAAAGGTTGGGCACCCCTGATTTACAGGATTCAAAGACTGAGGTGAAAACTGTTCCCCAGGAAACAACTGTTAATAATAATAAAAACAGTTATTATTTTGACCCAAAAGGAAAAGTTGTTTATTTTATACATAAAGGACTTGGTAAATGTTTCGGGGCTTTTTAAATGTTTTATTTGCAGATGATACAACATTTTTTTGTTTGACAAAAGATATAGAATGAATGTTGGAGAAAATACAAACGGAATTTGTAAAAATACAAACTTGGTTTAAACTTAATAAATTATTATTAAATTCAGATAAAACTAATTTCATGATATTTAGTAATAAAAAGAAAACTGATGTTCCACTGATGGTGCTGACATCTGTAGAGTCAGTGAAGTTTCTGTGTGTCATCGTTGATGAAAAACTGACATGGAAACCTCACATTAATCACTGAAGAACAAAA